CAGGCTTGTAGTCTTCCCAGAAGGCGATCCGCAGAACGGGCCCGAATAATTATTTTATTAATCCCACCCGATTTATTAATCAAAGGCGTACATTAACAGCACCACCGGCACGCCACCACCACCGCCAGCCAGCCAGCCAGGCAGCCAGCACCAGCACCGCTCACCGGCCGCGCCTGCAGTGCCAGCAGGGCCATCGCACCACCGCCGTTACCACCACAACACACTACGAATACCAACTCTGCTTCTGCCATGTTTCCTCTACTACAACTTGAACGTTGGCACGCAGTAGTTTTGCACCTACAACAAATGGCAAATTGGGCCAGGAGAAGGCTGAAGTGAATCTGCGCTTCGTGCTGTTTCCGGAGATGCAGTGCCCGAGAGAAATTGGAAACATGTAGGCAATGGTTGGCCCGGTCTTGCCTCGTTTCAGAGCCTACCTAGACACTAGACATAAAGGGCTTAGGTACTGTCTAAATGTGGCCGTTATGGCTTCGCAGGTGAAGCGAAGATTCGGAGGGTGTTTGACGCTCAGTGCAGATGTTGTAAATGGTACTGGTACTGGCTGCTGCCAGTAGCACTGAGACCTAGGGTGGCAAGCGAGAGCCTGAAGCCAGTGCATGCTGATAAGCTTAGACTCTTATGATGGTAACGTCGTGCCATCCTGTTCTCCCAAAGCTCCATGTGGAGTTATCTCCGCAATGAAAGATTCACCCTTGTCCAGAGTCCGGGGAGAGCCTTGTGCTTGCTTGCTGAATCTTATACGTCTACAAGTCAATCTGAAGCATAACTCCTCATGAACACCGCCTTCCGCTATCTCCGACAGCATGAGCATTCAGCCATCAACCCGCGACACAAAAGTCTAAGTGAGACTCCCGAGTCTCGACGAACCCTGAGCAAGGCACCTAGAGTAAATTGGATCTCCGGCGCTTGGGTGGTCGCTCAATTTCCTCCTTCAGCCCTGCACGAAACTTGAAACTATGTTGAACATAAAGACTACACAGCATCTTTAAGACCCTACAGCCCGAAAACCCTAACCCCTACAAACCCCTAAAACCTTAAACCCCTAAACCCTAAAACCCCTAGACCAGTCAACCCTGCAAAAAACAGGTTTGAGCTCGCCTCCCGAGCCTTGCAAGAGATCCAGCGCTTCGTCACCGAGCGGCTCCTTTCCGCTGCGGAGGAAGCGAAGGACGCGCCCGAAGGCGAGTCGTACAACTAAGAGGCAGAGTGATAGTAATAACAATAATGACCTAATCACAATCATAATAATAATAAGAATAATAACTATTATTATGATAATATAGTAATAATCTTTGATATTCATGATAATACTACCACCACAGGACCCATGGTCCCATGAAGTTTATTTTTGTTTATCTATTATTATTTTTGTTGGGGAGGGGGGTGGCTTAGGGTTAAGGGGTTATGGTGTTGCAGAGTTCAATTTGACAGGGCTTGGGCTTGTTTTACAAGGCTGCGGTGCTTTTTTTTCAAAGGTTTCTGGAGCTTAGGGTCTGAGCCCGTAACATTTCAGATTTAGGGACTTTGGTTCAGTTAGGGGGTTTATAAACCCTATAATCCCTAAACCCTAATCCCTTTAGGGCTTCGGATGGCGTGCAAGACCGAGTCTGGCCCGGGTTGTGCGACGGGTGTCCGAAGACCTGACGGCTTCGACGCTTTAGGGTTTAGGGTTTGGAAGTTTTAGTCAAGTCTGATGTGGCTGCACTTGACTGCGTCAGACCAAAGTCTGAAGAAAAGCGACTTTTCAATGCAGTGTGCAGGTGCGCTGGACCCCGGTTGACACGAAGCGAACGATCCTTTCGCAGCTGCTCGCATGACAGATCGAGCTATGCAAGCCCTAAGTATTCAAGTCGATCTGTTGGCATTCCGGGCTGCTTTCCGACGTCTTGCTAGAGGACTGGATTGTATGCACGCCTAGTAGTAGGTTTCACTGCTTCGCATGTTTCACACCCAGCGCTCCCCAAGAGCAGCATCCGCTATCGATCTTAAAGTCTCCGGTCGAGGCGGGCACAGGTGCAAATCTGTAGCAGCCAGCTGGAGTGCTTTAAGAAGAGACAAAAGCGTGAGCTGAAGAGGGCTTGGAGGTCTTCATTTCATCACTGGAGAATTTGGACTGTTCTCCCTGCATTTCCAGACTGCTTCCTTGGTTGGATAGAGACAACTCGAGTAAGTTGGGAGCACTTCGAGAAGAGCCACCCAAGACTGCTCTTGGCACCATTCGGCACGCGTCCTGCAGCATTTAGCACGTAGCAAGAAGTAGCAGGCCCCGGCCTTGTCCATCCCATCTCAGATGTCGCTGAAGATCTTTGAAATCGATGGTACCTTGCGTGGCTGCGAGGGGCAGATCTGGGATCGCGTCAATGGCTACAGGCATGAGTGCAAAGCTGCTTTGATGCCTCGTTTGTGCCAAGTATGTGCTGTGCCTGAACAGGATGCTCTTTGTGCAGACTGCCTGTACTGAACTGAAGGACAGACTGCTTTGAGCAAATGAAATCGTCCTGCGGCAAAGTAGCCTAGGCCCCTCGCATGGTCCATCCTGCAGGTGGTGGAAGAACGAGCTTGCCGAGAAAGAAGGTGGATTTGAGAAGTTCGCCGAGGGATACAAGATCTTCGGCTTCAACAAAACTGAAGGCCTGCACCTTTCATGCCTTCGCCTTTCGCCTGGCAGAAAAGTGGCTTATTGTCTGTATATAGGTCCTGTTGGATCCAGGCAGTAGCTGTTCAGTTTCCGTGAGTTAGACTCAAACCGGACTGTCTCCAAGCCGCAGGTGGCTACATCTACCGCGAATGGCTGCCCAATGCCAAGCAGGTTTTCCTCATTGGTGAGCCGCGCGCCGAGAGAATCAAGAGTCTTCCACTGTTTTGCAGTCTGGTGCTAGACCTCCAGTAACCGAGCTTCTGCCGCTGCGATTAGTGCTCGTGCCAGCAAGACGAGTACGGCTGTTGCACAAGCACTACTGGTCCGTATTGGTCTTGGGGTCCTAGTTCTGATCGTACTTGCACGTACTAGATGTACTGCGACGAAGAGGACCGAGCACAACGACGAGCTACTACTACTACTACTACTACTACTACTACGACTACGACTACGACGACGACGACGACGACGACTACGACTATGACTACGACTACGTTTACTACTACGACGACGACGACGACGACTACGACTACGACTACGACGACGACGACGACAACGGCGACTACTACTACTGCTACTACCAGTGCTGCT